AAGATACTACAGGCTGCCTTTCATGTTCGAATAGGAAAAAATAAATAAATAAAATACACTACAGGGGACTTGGAAGCACATCCTTTGTGGAGAACATTGCCATATATTAGTAGGATTTGCAAGCTCTTAAAGTTCACTAAAGCCAGGCAGGTAACAAATGGGTGGTGTATGAGAGAAGAGTGCTGGTGACTCTGATGAACAGGAGGATCTTACATTCTCTAAAAGGCAGTCAGTACTTACCTTTAGCTAGTTGTTGCTAGATAACACCAGTCCAGTGTTGCTAGATATTCCACTTAACTTTCCCAAGAAGAGTTAGAAATACAGATTTGTGAAATATCCTATTTTTAAATATCGGCAACCAATTCAAAATTTAAACAAAAAATTTGAATTGTAGGCCAAAACATATGCACTGGCCAGATCTGGCTCTGAATTCTGCCTGTTGAAATCTCTTGACAACACTTTAGCTAAATAATCACTCGAATTAAGTCAAAATGATGCAGTCAACAGCTCTCTTGATTGGCAGCATCACACTGCCTCCCTCTGCGATGTGAGGCTCTCCGGGGTTCTGGATAACACCCAGCTTGGCGTGGGGCAAAGTGCTCTGAGCAAGGGAGTCAGGAGACCTGTTTCCTAATCCCTGCTAACAACTTGCTAGGTGACATTGGGAAAGAAATTCTCCCCCTTGCCACAGGATTTCTTTCTATAAAGTAAGGGGGATGATCTCTACTGTTCTTTCCAAGGTTCTAGATCATTCTTTTCACGAAGATTTATGTACTTACTATCTGTCAGCTACTTGAAAAGGAAACTTTTCAGACTAAGTTGAAAATTCACCTTTAATTGGCTTGAGTGACAACTAGTTCTTCCTCTCCCATATTCTCCTGTGTGTCTTCAGTGATTTGTGTTTGCAGGGAAGTTTCTTTTCGCTGTATGCTTTTGGGGGCATTTTCTAAGGGAAAGAGCTCATTTTAGAATAGAAAGTCTGGGTGGGGTGGAGCATATGGACTTTTTGTTTGCTGAATACTATGTTTTGAGTCAAATAAAAAAGTAAAGGAATAGAGTTAATATGGAGAACATACTGAAGTACAAAGCCACTTCCTTGAACTTCACAGTTCAAATAAAACCTTGCAATTGAATCTTTTTTTCTTGTTACTTCTCTGAGATATAATTCACACACAATAAAATTCACCCATATAAAGCATACAATCCAATGTTTTTAGTATATTTACAATCAGCACCACTATCTAATTTCAAAACATTTTCAACTCCTCAAAAAGAAACCCTATACCTGCTATTGGTTGCTGTAGTTCTGGCAACCACAAATCTGCTTTCTGAATCTATAAATTTGCCTATTCTGGACCTTTTATATAAATGGAATTATATTTCTTTTTTTTTTTTTTTCTTGAGATGGAGTTTCACTCTTGTTACCCAGGCTGGAGTGCAATGGCGCAATCTTGGCTCACTGCAACCTCCGCCTCCTGGGTTCAGGCAATTCTCCTGCCTCAACCTCCTGAGTAGCTGGGATTACAGGCACGCATCACCATGCCCAGCTAATGTTTTGTATTTTTAGTAGAGATGGGGTTTCACCATGTTGACCAGGATGGTCTCGATCTCTTGACCTCGTGATCCACCTGCCTCGGCCTCCCAAAGTGCTGAGATTACAGGCTTGAGCCACCACGCCTGGCAAATGGAATTATGTAATATATGGTCTTTTGTGTCTGTCTTCTTTCACTTAGCATAATGTTTTCAAGGTTTATCCGTGTTGCAGCATGTATCAGGACCTCATTTCTTTTTTTTTTTTTTTGAGACGGAGTTTCGCTCGTTACCCAGGCTGGAGTGCAATGGCGCGATCTCGGCTCACCGCAACCTCCGCCTCCTGGGCTCAGGCAATTCTCCTGCCTCAGCCTCCTGAGTAGCTGGGATTACAGGCACGCACCACCATGCCCAGCTAATTTTTTTGTATTTTAGTAGAGACGGGGTTTCACCATGTTGACCAGGATGGTCTCGATCTCTTGACCTCGTGATCCACCCACCTCGGCCTCCCAAAGTGCTGGGATTACAAGCTTGAGCCACCGCGCCCGGCCTCCTCATTTCTTTTTATTGCCAAATAATATTCTATTGTGTGGCTATATGACATTTTGTTTATCCACTCATCAGCTGAAGAACAATTGTTTCCACTTTTTGGCTATTACATATAACAACGCTATGAACATTCACAAACAAGTTTTCATGTACATATATGTCTTCATTTCTCTCAGGTATAGATAAGTAGGAGAGTAATTGTCAGGTCGGATAACTCTACATTTAATCTTTTGAGGAACTGACATACAGTTTTCCAAAGCAGTGGCATCATTTAACACACCTACCCACAGTGTATGAGGGCTCCAGTTTCTTCACATATTCATCAACACTTATATAATCTGTCTTTTTAATTTTAGTCATCCTTGAGTGTGTGAAGCAGTATTTCAATGTACTTTTCAAGGTACTCCCCAAAGTGCAGGGATTACAGATAGGAGCTGCTACAATTTTATTTCGCTTTTGATTTTGTGGGTCAAATGTTCAAGAAGGGCCAGGAGTGATGGATCATGCCTGTAATCCCAGCACTTTTTTTTTTGAGCCTGCTCTGTTGTCCAGGTGCGAGTACAGTGGCACAAACTTGGCTCACTGTCACTTCTGTGTTCCAGGCTCAAATGATCCTCTCACCTCAGCCTCTGGAGTGGCTGGGACTACAAGCATGTGCACCACCACTCACGGCTAATTTTTGTAATTTTTTGTAGAGACGGGATTAGTCATGTTGGCCAGGCTGGTCTGGAACTCCTGGGCTCAAGTGATCTGCCTACCTCGGCCTCCCAAAGGCTGGGATTACAGGCATGAGCCACTATAATTTTATTTTGCTCACAATTTTGTGGGTCAAGTATTCCAGAAGGGCTAGGAGTGCTGGTTCATGCCTGTAATCCCAGCACTTTTTTTTTTTTTTTTTTTTTTTTGAGCTGCTCTGCTGCCCAGGTGGTAGGGCAGTGGCACAAACTTGGTTCACTGCAACTTCTGCATCCCAGGCTCATGTGATCCTCCCACCTCAGCCTCTGGAGTAGCTGGGACTACAAGCCTATGCCACCACTCCTGGCTAAATTTTGTATTTCTAGAAGAGATGGGTTTAGCCATGTTGGCCAGGTTGGTCTGGAACTCTTGGGCTCAAGCGATTCACCCACCTGGGCTTTCCAAAGTACTGGGATTATAGGTGTGAGCCATCGCTCCCAGCAATCCCAGCACTTTGGGAGTTTGAGACCAGCCTGGTAACATAGGGAAAACTTGTTTCAAAAAAAAAAAATTTACCTGAGCATGATGGCATGTGCTTGTAGTGCCAGCTGCTACTGAGGCTGAGGTGGAAGGATCACTTGAGTTCAGAAGTTGGAGGCTTTAGTGAGCCATGATTGTGCCACTGCATTTCAGCCTGGGTGACAGAGGGATCTTGTCTTTCAAAAAAGACAAAAATAAAGTGTGTGTGTGTACATATATATATATAAAATTCAGGAAGGGCTGGGCTGGGTAGATAGTTCTTGCTTGGAGTCTCTCACGCAGTTGCAGTCAGACACTAACAGGGGTTGCCATCATTGGAAGGCTCCCTTGGGCTGAGTGTCCAAGATGTCTCACTCAGATGGCTGACAGGTGATGCTGGTGATCTCGTGGGAGCTCAGTGAGACTTTTTTTTTTTTGAGGCGGAGTTTCACTCTTGTTACCCAGGCTGGAGTGCAATGCGTGATCTTGGCTCACCGCAACCTCAGCCTCTTGGGTTCAGGCAATTCTCCTGTCTCAGCCTCCTGAGTAGCTGGGATTACAGGCATGCACCACTATGCCCAGCTAATTTTTTTTTGTATTTTTAGTAGAGACGGGGTTTCACTATGTTGACCAGGATGGTCTCAATCTCTCGACCTTGTGATCGACCCGCCTTGGCCTCCCAAAGTGCTGGGATTACAAGCTTAAGCCACTGCGCCCGGCCCGGGACTTTTTAAAAAAATTGACATGTTACTCCTGGCCATCAGTGAGAATTTTGACTGGCATGCCTACATGTGGCCTCTGTAGCATGACAGTCTTATGGTTGTCAAACTTTGTTTCTCCCGGAGTGAGAATACCAAGAGAACAGCTACATGGCCTCTTCTGATCTAGCCTGGGAACTTAGGCAGCATCTCTTCTGCTGCATTCTACTGGTTCCAAGTGAGTTACCAGGTAAATCCAAGAACTTGTAGTCATGTTCCAAAATTGCTGTAAATGCTTCCTGTGTACCAGCACTGTTTTATGTGCTTATTTAATTCTTATTAAAAACCCCATGAGGGCAGGGCAGTGACTTCCACCTATAATCCCAGCACTTTGGAGGCCAAGGCAGGAGGATTGCTTGGGGCCAGGAGTTCAAACCCTCACACTCACACTCCTTATATCCAATTACTGAACATTTGTCACCCACAAACATAGCAACTATGACACTGTACTGACACAAAAATTTGTTACATTCCGTCTTCCCCATGTAAGCTCAATCACTGTGACTTATTCTTCAGGCTCACCCACTGTCCCATTCTTCACACTGTCACAAGCACACGCCCATCACACACTCAGTTGCTGTGACACAGCTCTAATCCTCAATCACTGTCACATACTGTTTTTCACACAAGTATGGTCACCATCTGTACTCTTAAAGCACGGTATTTACTCTCCGATAAAACTGAGTTAATATGCCAACAGCTCTATTTTTCACACAAGCCGTCACATATTGTATTTTTCCATCCACACAATCCCTGACATAACACAATTAGGGTCACACACTCTTACTGCCTTCGTCCCACTCCCAGCTGACACCCACTCCCACACTCGCTCACTGGCTAGAGATTGGAGTAGCCTGTCCGTGGGTTTCTGAAGCCTGGGTCACCTCCCGGATCTCAGCCGCGAGCAGCGTGGCCCCGCCCCGCCCCGCCCCCTCATGCATATTCAGCACCTCAGCCTGGCAGCCCGGCCCCCAGACGGCCATTTGTGGCGGCGCTAGAGGCTGCGTTCGGCGAGCGCTGCGGAGACGCGTAGAGGAGCGCGCCCCCCGGCCGCTGCCGCCACTGGCCCGTGCCGTCACCCCATTTCTCCGCGCCTCGGGCGGTACCCAGCCAGCTCCTGGCGCCGCGCCGCCGCGCGGACCTGCCCTCCCGACACCTCCCGCTACCCGCGACCCCCGCCCGGCCGCTCGCCCGCTGCCCGCCGGCCGCACACGTCCCCGGAGCCGGGCCTAGGGCGGGCGGCAGCGGCGGCTTGGCGCGGTCAGGCTGGGCTCTGTGGCGTCCCCATGGCCGCGGCCGGCTGGCGGGACGGCTCCGGCCAGGAGAAGTACCGGCTCGTGGTGGTCGGCGGTGGCGGCGTGGGGAAGTCGGCGCTCACCATCCAGTTCATCCAGGTACCTGGAGCGGGCCTGCCGGGGGCGCCCGGGCGGCGGCGGGCGGGGGCCGGCGCTACCTGTGGCGGGGCGGCCGCCGCGACCTCGCTCCGGAGGCGCCTCGCGGGCCGGGGCCGGGGCCGGGAGGGCGTGAGGGCGTGAGGCCGACTACACTCCTGCCCTGCGGCCGCGGCGTCGCGCTCCTGCCTCCTCCCGGGCGCGGCGTCGCGGGAGTAGGGCTTCTCAGGAATGTGGTCTGGAGGGCGGAGCTGGCAGGGTGGGAAGCGCCGATCCACCTTATCGCTCTGGCCGAGGCCGGAGACCTCCGGGAGAGACTGGGCCACCAAGGCGAGCTTCCTGGTCCAGGCGTGGGGCTAGGAACTGGAGCTGGAGCCCCTCGAGTTGCTTTTCCAGCCGCCTGCGGCCGCGCCTGCACCGTCGAGGCGATCGCTGTGGCAACTTGGCTGCGGCTCCGCGTGGTCTCCAGGCTTCCCCGCGCCGCATGAGCCGGAGCTGCCCGCTTCAAGCGCCGTGTATTTCTTTGTGTGCGTGTGTTGTGCTTTTAAGTACTCTCTTAGGTAATATGTCCGGGTGGGAGTGTGTGATAATGCCCCGGGGAAATGGTGGCTTCGAGGAAGTTAAAAATGTTCTCTGGTGGGGTGAGACCATTTCCTAGGAATTCCTGGTGCCTTCCTGCTTCTCGCCTTGCCTAGGTGAAGTTTGGGATGGGCCAGGCTGGGAGGTGACCGAGTCGTGCGTTCTGTTTTCTCACCACCTTCTCCCCCACCCGGAGCCCTCTCTGGGTGCTAGAGGCGGAAAGTCTAAAGGGTTTGTGGTAAAGAAAAGGGAGGTGGAATTCTTCCTTCTTAGAATTTGCTCTTGGGGGGAGGTTTGAGTAATCTTTTTTGGGATTTTTAAAACACAAAGCCCCGATGTCTTCCTGCTTTTGTCAACCTAAAAGGTGTGGCATATGCTGGGAGAGAACGAAGGTACCCTGTTGTAACAGGTAACACGGATATTTTCACAGTATCTAGAGTATGAACGGTGAAATTTTTTTTTCTGGTTTCCGTTTCACCCATCTGTTATTAATTGGGATACCTGATTAGCTTATTTCACTCAGTGTTTATAGTGACATTAAAATATTGTTAAAATATTGAATACTGAAACAAACGTTGATTGTCACCTTTCACATTGAGTAAATGAGCAATAATTGTTGCTGTAATATTCCCTGGGATTACTGCTGCTAAAACCTTTGTATCCAGGAAGAAGGGATGTTTATATAATGAGCATTTACAGTATGCTCATTAGTGGGTTAAAAAGAAATCACTGAGCAAGAAGTGAGATTGGTTTAAGTTTAGCAGGCTGCAGAATCAGGGATGCTGTCAGGTTGCTATTTCCCTAGGGCACAGATAAATTGTACGTAACTAATGGTAAAGCAAAACAATTTATACCTAACCCTTTCTTTGGGGACTAGTCTGATGGCTGGTGGGTAAGGAGTAGTGGAGGAGAAATCTAGAAGTGGGAGAACAATCTTGGCTTCCAATATTGATAGTGTTAACTGAAAGATTTGAACTACTAATATTTAATTTTTTTGAGGAAGGGGCCATCTGAATTATCTGTGTCCATGTTAATTAGGGTGTTGGGTCTTTTTGTTTTTGGGGAGTAACATTAAAAGCCATTAAGAAAGCAGTAATCTAATAAATAATATTAAATGTTAATTTAATAAATAATATTAAGAGCCATTAAGAAAGCTAACGCCTGTAATCTCCGCACCTTGCAAGGCCGAAGTGGGCAGATCACCAGAGGTCAGGAGTTCAAGACCAGCCTGGCCAATATTGGCAAAGCCCCATCTCTACTAAAAATACAAAAATTAGCCAGGCATGGTGGTGAGCACCTGTAGTCCCAGCTACTTGAGAGGATGAGGCTACTTGGGAAAATCGCTTGAACACGGAAGGCGGAGGTTGTGATGAGCCAAGATTGCACCACTGCACTCCCAACTGGGCAACAGAATGAGACTCTGACTCCAAAAAAAAAAAAAAAAAAAAGCATTAATTGCTGTTTTCCTAGTGATTTGTAGAATTCGTTTGTTGAAGAAATACCTCCACTATGAATAGTATAGTACCTAGATGCTCTAGACGATATCAAAGAAGTAAAGGAAGAAGGTATGCATCAGAAAGACATATATGTATATATGTACTTCAGCGTGTGTGTCTTTTAAAGCTCTGTCATTTATTGTCTATGAGAACATGGCCAAAATATTCAGCCTCTCTGAGCCTCAGTTTTCTCACCAGTAAAATGGGTTTGATTACACATTCTTTGTAACTTTTAAATGATGACAAAGGTAGTAGCATTACATCTAGCATGTTGTATGTGGTCAGTAATGTTAGGTGTTATCAGTGTTTATGCCTACAGTTCTGTAATATGTTTAAATGCAGAGAGAATTCAGACTCGGAAAAGTCAATGTGGAAAAAAGTTGTTAAAAGCACATTGTAGGCTTGGTGGTAGGAAGAATGGAAATGTCATATTTGGGAGTCATATGGCGGGGGGAGTGGGATCGATAGTTGATTTGGGACCTATCATCTGGGCTCTGCAAAAAGCAGACTTTTTGGAGAGACAGGAACCCGACTACCTGGATGCAGTCTCAGCTCTACCACTTGCTGTATGTGTAATTTTAGGCAGGTTACTTAACCTCTCTGTACCTCAGTTTTCCCCATCTGTAAAATGGGGAAATATGATGGACTGCATACAGCTGTACAATTAAATGAAAAAACATGTCAAGGGCTTAGAACAATGTATAGTATATAGTAAAGCTGCATATATTATTAATTTTAGATTACGGAGCTAAAGTAAATGTTTATATTTACACTTAATAGGGTAACTATTCATTGCCCTACTCCTGGGGTGTTAAAATTCATTTCACTATGATTGTTCAGCAGTAGTAGTAACTGGAGGGAGATAACACAGCAGACTAACCATTTTAAGAAGCAGAAGTCAGTTCTCTTTGTAGGAGATTAGAATGGCACAAATTGGTCTTAATTATTTTTTTAAGGCTCCTGAAATACTAGGCTGTTTCTACAATTTTCAGTATATATTTGTCTACTATGTAATCTTGAGCAGAAAATAAATACAAAATTGGGAATGGAGAATTTAAAAACAATGCCTTTTACCCTTTCTTTGACTTAGATTTAGTTGTTACCTTCTATTCGTATGAAGAGTTGCAAAATTAGGAAATTAAGGTAATTGAGATACCTTTTTCTTTTTTCTTTTTTTTTTGGGGGGGGGATGGAGTTTCGCTCGTTACCCAGGCTGGAGTGCAATGGCGCGATCTCGGCTCGCCGCAACCTCCGCCTCCTGGGTTCAAGCAATTCTCCTGCCTCAGCCTCCTGAGTAGCTGGGATTACAGGCACGCACCACCATGCCCAGCTAATTTTTTGTATTTTTAGTAGAGACGGGGTTTCACCATGTTGACCAGGATGGTCTCGATCTCTCGACCTCGTGATCCACCCGCCTCGGCCTCCCAAAGTGCTGGGATTACAGGCTTGAGCCACCGCGCCCGGCTACCTTTTTCTTTTTAAAATAAATACAACAAATCATAAAGTAGCCATGATAAAATATAAAGTATTATGTTTAATTAGTATATGTATGTACATGACCTTCTCCTTTCTGTTGCTTATAGTTTTTTGAAAAACTTTAAAAGTTCTCTTGGTAAGCAGAACACCTGAATGATGAGTAAACTCTAGCTAAGAAATAACTTCAAGATAGTACAGAGTAGTTAGGAGAGACTGCTGGGTATGTGGGGGGCTCAGTCTCTCTACCCAGGTGACTTTAATAGTCTCTTAATCTGCCTTTATCTCAGCTGAGCTTGTTTCTTCTCCATGAAAGATTGGGTTTGGTTGAACCAATTTCTGCACCTTTGAAATTCTAAGGTTTTTTTTTTTTCTCATTTAACTAGCGTGTGTCTTTAGTCAAGTTTCTTAAGTTCTCTAAACCCAAGTTTCACCATTTGAGAAGGGAGAATAATATTAATAGTACCCTTAGGGTTTTTGGAGTAAATTAAATAATGCAGGTAAATCAATCAGCACAGTGCCTTCTACAGAGAAAGTAAGAATTGTTTGCTGGGCATGGTGGCTCACGCCTGTAATCCCAGCATTTTGGGAGGCTGAGGTGCGTGGATCACTTGATTTCAGGAGTTTGAGATCAGCCTGGCCAACATGGTAAAACCCCACCTCTACTAAAAATACAAAAATTAGCTGGGTGTGTTGGTGCGTGCCTGTAATCCCAGTTATTCAGGAGGCTAATTCAGGAGAACAACTTGAACCCGGGAGGTGGTGGTTGCAGTGAGCTGACATTTTGCCTCTGCACTCCAGCCAGGGCTACAGAGTAAGACTCCATCAAAAAAAAAAAAAAAAAAAAAGAATTGTTACTTGGTTTTATTTGCTGCTATTAGTTCTGTATTTTGGCATTCCTCCAAAACAAAATTTGTAATTTATTCATTTTTCGTTGACACGTAATCTGGTCTATTACTTTAAGTCTTCACTGCCCTCTTTCCTGCCCCCACTCGATACTCCCTTCCTTGCTTTCTGTGATATTCAGATGATGAATGTGGATTCCATTTTGAGTTGGAGAAATTTCTTTTTGTCAGTTTGGAGTTGATTTTAAGAAATAAAGAGGTAAGCATTTAATTTTGTGGTTAGTACTTTATCTGGTGACTCTGAGAAAAGACTATACATGTTTTACAAATTTACAGGGAGAAGTATTCCAGTTTCAGGTTTTTTTAGCATCTTAACTTTTTATTCAATAGTTTGCCAGATTTTGAGGTAGGTCGGGGTTAGCTGGTTTCTCACATCTTGAATTTTAGTCAGTCTTATGACCTGTTAATCTGGACCCAGCATTGCTTTTTAAAAGTTTGTCTTGTGCTGAGTGCTTTTTCATTGCTTTTTCCTGGGGCAGAGATCTTAAAGAGATTTCAGAAGATTTGTGTTAATAGTTAATTGATCCACATGTGAAGGTTGTGAGTTTAA